TGTGGCCTTGTTGAAGGAAGTGTGTCACTGGGGTTAGGCTTTGAGGTTTCAAAAACCCATGACAGCCCCAGTCTCTCTCTCAGTTATCCAATCAGGATGTAGCTCTCAGCTGCTTCTCCAGCACTATGCTCCCTGCCATGATGATAATGGACTAAACTTCTGAAACTGTAAGGAAGTCCCCAGTTAAGTGCTTTCTTTAATCAGAGTTGCCTTGGTCATGGTGTCTCTTCACAGTGATAGAACAGTGTATAAGGGGAGATGCCACTATCATGTATGGGGCTGTCGCAAAAGTTTTCATAAGTGACCTCATTTTGCAACTCAATGAGGAAGAAATTTATTTCCATTTTACAGAAAGGAAAAATGAGGCTCATGTGATCAAATGAGTTGCTTAGTAGCATTCAATTAATGAATGGCAGAGCTGGGATTTGAACCCACACCCTCCTGATTCCTCAAACCATGCTTATGTGTTGTGTAGCCATAGAAGAAGGAACTTGTAGGCTGGAGAGATGACTCAGTAGCTGCAGTGCTTGTCTTGCAAGCACAAAGCACTGAGTTTGGCTCCAGAACCCATGTAAAAAGCTAAGTGTGGTGGTGTGTGTTCCATCTTCAGCCACTGGGAAGGAAGGGACAAACAGATTCCTGGGGCTTGTTGACCAGCCATCTTAGCTGAAGCACTGAGCTCCCATCAGTGAGACCTGGTTCAAAAAACAATCTGGTATCCCGAGGAATGACATTATAGGCTGGCTTCTACATGCACACACAATTATACACACAGAGAGAGACACACACAGACATACTCACACACAGAGAGACACACACACTCACACATACATACAGACACACACTCTCACACACAGCCACACACATACAGACACACACAGACTCACACACACGCAGAGGGGAGGATAAAAATAACTTGGGGCTAAGTTGGGCATCTCTCAATCTGATGGGGTTTCCACATAGTTAAGGAAAGAAAAGGCCCTGTGCTTTCCTTATGCCTTGGCCTTCTCTGCCAGCCTCTGCTTGCCTTAGGTATAAGTTCTCTTATATTCATAAAGCCCTCCAAGGCCAATCCTATCAATTTCATTTCACCACTGAGAAAAACAGAGCTCAGGGATGGTAAGAATAGATTCCCTAAATGGTGACTTCCTACCGACCTTCAGCATCTCCAGACACAGGTGGCTGAGGTGGCCAGCTCAGAAACAGGCCTGTCTGGTCCAGGAATGCCTGTTTGTCATGAGCAATGGAGGATATTCCCAGCATTCTGAAGAATGGCTCAGGTGTGGTCCAGCTGGATGACCTCCAGGGTCCTCCATGGGACCTCCCCCTGACACACTCTCTCTCTTTGTCTCTGTCTCTGTCTCTCTCTGTCTCTGTCTCTGTCTCTCTCTGTCTCTCTCTGTCTCTCTCTCTCTCTGCTACCTCCAACAACACCAGAAGCCAGGGCCCCTCCCTTCTGGACCACTCCCCTTGGCTGCAGCCAAGAGCTTTCTCTGTAAGCAGTCACCTCCATCCATCTTTGTCTCCTGGCCCCATAGGGCCTTGACAGGGAACTGCTGACTTTGAGGAGGTTAAAGGTGCAGTACCCAGCCTTCATCTGACAAATGGGTTGCTGCAGGAGGGGGCTGTTATTTTTTCCTGGCCTCAGAAGAGGGGCCTGTCAGGAAGATGTAGAGGTGGCAGCCTTGTGGTGCCCCCAGGGGAGCTGACAGACATCAGCAGCTGTTGGGGCACTGGGGTGCCAGGCCCTGTGTTCCCAGCACAGAGCATCCCGCTGTGCACCCGCCCCATGCCCTTCCTGACCTCCCCACCTACCCCACCATGACCCAGTGCCCACCCTTTCCCAGGGCAAAGGGCCAAGGGGGCCTCCCTGGGATGGAGACCCTGAGCCAGATGTGAGGACAGCCCAACAGGGATCTGGTTACAGCCTGACAGGTCAGGCCCCCAGGGCTTCCTAAGGAGCTGACAGCCCCATCTTCCTTCTGGCCCACCCCTCCTGTGGGCTCCCTCCAACACGCAGGGCCTCACAAGGCTGTTCCTATGGAAACCTCTCCATGGTCTCCTGCCCACACCTTCTCCCTTTAGAATCACCAGGTTAACAAGGAGTAGACATAGGAGCCACCATCATCTCTTGCCCCCTCTGCCTTTCACAAAAACAGTTTTATTCAAAATTCCAGGTGACCCAGCCTAGGGGCACACAACTCCAATCTCAGCACTTGAAATGCTGACACAGATAGACTATGACTTTGAGGCCAGCCTGGGTTACCAAGTGAATTCCGGGTTAGCCTGAGCTAATGAAACCCTTTCTCAAAAACAAAATACCGGTCAGGGAGAAGGGCTCAGTGTGTAAAGTGGGTGCTACACATGTATTGAGGACCCAAGTTTGGGTCCTCAGCACTCATGGAAAATCTGGGCCCTGAGGCGCACCAGTGCAGCCTTGAAAACACAGCCTTGGCATGGGGGCAGAGACGGGTCAATCTTAAGGAATTTCTGACCACCAGCCTGGCCAAATAAATAGTAAACTCCAGGTTCAGTGAGAAACCTTGTCTCAAGAAAGAAAAAAGAAGATGAAGGAGGAGGAGGAAGAGGAGGAGGAGGAGGAAGAGGAGGAGGAGGAGGAGGCAGGCCCATCTCTGAGTTTGAGGCCAGCCTGGTCTACAGAGTGAGTTCCAGAATAGCCAAGGTTACAAGGTGAGACCCTCTCTCAAAAATGAATTTTAAAGAAAGGTATAGAGCAATCAAAAGAGACACCTGGACTCTACATGCACATGCAAAGACACACACACACACACACACACACACACACACACACACACACACACACACACACACACACGGCTTACAAATAAGTTGATTTAGGAAAGCAAAATTCCCAGGCAGGTCAACAGGTTCAGCCAGTGCAGGCTGCCTGGCTCCTGAAGCCCTTCCCTACAATTCACAATGCGGCCTGCTACAAGTTCCTTGGTCTCTCCGTGCTTCATTCCCAGAAATGTCAGATGGTTAGAACAGGGCTTGCTGCTGAGGGAGCTGCTGCAGATGGGGGCTTGGGGGGGGGGCACTGCACTGTGGGTATGGGGTTAAATCAGCTGGTGAGGCCCAGAGAGGTGAGGTATGCTGGCCCAGGAACTTAACCGGGGACTTAAATTCACCTGGTACCTGCTGCTCCTGTCTGGGAGTCCTAGTGTCTAAGACCATCGAACAGAGTTCACACCACATGGTGTTTCTGCATTGCAGCACCTTGCTGCTCTGAGCCAGTGGAAATCTCTAAGAAAATAATGTCAAATCTCTAGAGATTGAGAAGCTGGCCAGGTGTTCCCATAGTGTAGACCAGCAGTTCTCAATCTATGGGTCTTGACCCCTTTGGGGGTCAAATGACCATTTCACAGGGGTCACCTGAGACCATCAGAAAACACAAACGTTTACATTATGATTCATAACTGTAGCAAAATTACAGTTCTGAAGTAGCAACAAAAAATAATTTTATGGTTGGGAGTCATCACATGAGGAACTGGATTAAAGGCTGGCAGCATGAAGAAGGCTGAGAAGCACTGGCGTAGATTGACAAGCAAGATGAAATGGCACCTGGGCTGGCCACCCTCTCATGTACCACATACACAAGCCAGAAAGAACCTTGGGAACTCCTTTGGGATGAACTCTCAGGGAATTGAGTCTCTGGGTTCCTGTCTCCATGCCCAGGTTTCCAAAGATGCCTCCAGGGATTGAGAAAGGGAAGCAGGTGGAAGAGGCTGGGCGTGGGGACAGACAACGGGTGGGAACAACCCCTAGAAACTTCAAGGACTGAAGAGCCTCTCTCTGCTTTGGAGACAAATCAGTTGGAAGCTCTCTAGTGGAGTGTGGCGAATGGGCATGGAAGTTAGAGGTTAAAGGTGGCTTCAAAGAGACAGGTGCTTTTTCTCTCCTTGTTTCTGAGAAGTGAGAAAGGCACTTTGCACTTTAGACAGGCAAAGTTTTTTCTTTTCTTCTTTCTTTCTTTCTCTCTCTCTTTTTACTTTCTTTCTTTCTTTTTTTTTTTTTTTGGTTCTGAAGTATATCTTTCTTTATACCCCAGACCACACCAGTGGGTTGCCAAAACTCATCAAAAAAAAAAAAAAAAAAGAGGAAAAATTACTTTTAACTCCCCTCCCTCTTCTGTTCCTGCAGGGAGAGGTAGGAAACCCTTAAATCAATGCACTCACCAAGCTTGCCTTTTGCACCCACTTGCCCCTTCCCTCCCCAGAATTTGGCATTTGGTGGATTCTGGATCCCTCTGAAGGCTTTTTCTAAATCCAAGACTTGGAGAATTTTGTTAACAAGGCAATAAAAATAACTATTGTGTTATGGGAGGCACTCAAAGAGCGTGTGTGTGTGTGTGTGTGTGTGTGTGTGTGTGCTATGCATGCACCCACTCTCTCCTTAAAAAAAAAATAAAACAATGTTTCTTTAAAAGTCTACGTCTGCAAATGCCATTAGAAGTGGGTATAGGGTTTCTGATGACAATGTTGCCTGCTCGGTTTTGGTTGGAGGGGACCGTGTGTGAGTGGGTTGACCCCTCCCTCTCCTCTCTCACATTTCACTCCAGAAATTTGTCACTCTCTCACCACCGCAGGATTTAAAAGTGTGTCTGGGCAACCGGGTCCAGCCCTCCACAGGCATTCCACTCAGGGTCCCCGGGAAGAGAGCTTGTCAGTGTGGGTGGGTCAGAGATAGGACAGTCAAAATGTTTAGCGCCATAGGCACCAAATACATGCACAAGGGACCCCGATAGTCAGCGTGTGTCAGGGAAAGAAAGACAGGTGTGGGCATGCACGTGTGTGTTGCTGCCCACGTGTTTGTAGACTTGGAGGCAAAATTTTGTTTTGGTTCCTAGAGTAAATTTTCCATTCAACATTTTCCTCTACTATTTAGTTGGGCTTTTGTTTTGTTTTTAATTACAAAACTCTGAATAGAAAAAGTGCAGTGCAAATACCTTTGAACGGACTGAGGCGAGCAGCAGACAGCAGATGGATCCGGTGGCCAACAGCTGCGTGAGGAACCCCCACCCCCCAGCCCCGCTCTGGGGCTGCCTCCGAAACCCCCACTCGGAAAGCAGCAGCACTTCAGGGCTGTCCCATTATCCACCAACCCCGTTTTCCTTCCACCAAAAGTCAGATTTCCCAGCGACAGCAGCATACCCCGACTTCTCTGCTTCCTGCCTGGCAGCCACTCCACACAGCCTGCCCCGGGCCGAGCGCATCTTCAATGAGCAACATCCTGCCTTCCCACAGACCCCTGACTGGCACTTCCCCATCTCTGAAGCTGGGCAAAGGCTCAACCCAGGCCCAGCTGGGAGCGCCAGAGAGATGGGGGCCGGCAGCCCAGGCCTGGTGGAGGGCACGGGAGGATCCGGTGAGGACTACATGGTACTTCGGAGCACTGCCAGTGAGCCGGAGAAGAAATCATCTAGAAGGAAAAAAGAACGGTCAGGTAGGTGGTGGGAAGGACTTACCATTCCTTGACTGTGTCAC